CCTTTTCCTGAAGCTCAAGACAGCTCCGTCGGAGAGGTTCCCTGGCTGTTCCCTTCCAGAGGCTGGGGGTTAGAGCTGCTGTCTTCAGCTTGGTGAAGGGGAGGGGGTCCTCCTTCAAAGCTGTCCCACAGGGGTCCTGGCTTTTCCTCCTCAGTTCTCCTGCTGGGCGTCCCCTCCCGCATCCTCCGCCACTTCACCCACCGCATCACCGCACGTCTCAACAGTTCCTCTCAACTACTCGGCTGTGTGGATGGCCGAGCAGTGGAACCCTGAGTCTCAAACTAGAGACGCGGGAAATTGTAGGTGCACAGCCTCCCGTGGCTTGGAGCCTGGCCTGGCTACAACCTCATTAGCTCCTGGCAGCTCTTGGTGTTTCTTCCCCCTCCAGCCAGCTGGCCTCTGAGGTCTCTGCCCTTCCCCAGACAGCACCACCTCTCTCTTCTCTGCTTCCTGGCTCTTTCAGAGTAAGAAACGGGGTCCTCTTCCAGATGAACCCCAGCTCCTCCTCTTCCTTCAGGTCCTGACTCCTTGGAAGACCCTTAACCCCCATCTTGCTCGGGTGATGCCCTGAAATGCCCCGATGGCCCACTCCTCTCATCCCCTGAGAACTCCATGCTCCTTCCCAGCCCAGCCTGGCAGCAAGACCAGGGATAAGCCACACACTGAAACCCCCATTCTGGGTCCGGACTGCCCCGCTCTAGGGTCAGCACATCCACCCACAATCCAGCCACCCCATCATCACTCATCAACTTGGGGCACCTGGGGTCGCTAAAGCCAGGGAGGACTGAGTTCTGCCTAAAGTCAGGGGCCCTGGGATCACGAACCTGAGAAATAAGCTTTCAGCCTGGATACCATACGCCTCCCTCCTTTGGAATTCCAAGAGCCCAGGACTGAGAATGGGTTGTGTTCTTTTGTTCAGAGGGGCCCCCTTCCATTGCCAACGTGCTGGGGCCGCTCAGTTCCAGATCTCCGAGGGCCACCGCCTTGGGCTGCGAACTGCACAGACTGCGAGGTGAATGATGCAGTGTGGCAGCTCCAGGAAAGCCCCTCCCGGGCTCCTGCTCTGGGCCGGGTTGTGGGCTGTAGGATTCCAAGGTCTGGCTCACGTTCCTGGTGCACCTTGAAGGGTCCCCCTCACCCCAAAGTGCAGCGGTTGCACTCAGGCCTGTGAGCACAGGCTTTCCTCCTTTCTTTACTTCCCCAGCAGCAAGGGGAAACAGGCCTGCCTCTAGGTCCTCCACCTAAATGCCCAGCATCTTTGGGATTCGCTCCACCTGCTGAGCCTGTTTCCACCACAATGAAATGGGGATGCAGGGATGTTGCAGGTTGCCATCTGCCCTGTTTGATGAATTAAGTACCAAGGGCAGAGGTCTGAGAAGCAAGTTCTGAGAGCAGCAGGTTCTTGCTACGTGGAGGGGACGTTTTCTGCCTCTCGGTGCTCACAAAATGTAGCAGCTGCTGACTTCAGGCACGCAGAGAGCACCCTTCGTGGAAGAAAAATTCTTCCTTTCTGTCATTTGAGCTGATGAAATTAAAGCCTGGGTCAGAAAAGTGAATGAATAAAACGTTCGCTCGTATGACCCTTACCTTTATGATGTGTTTGTACATTCACTGTTGTATCTGCTCGCCTAAAAACCCTGCCAAGTGAAGGATTTACTATTATCCTACTGGTGAGAAAACTGAGGCTTCAGGAGATAAAGGACTTGACGAACCTACACAGGGGTTGTGATCCGCTTGTGGAGGGCTGGTGAACCCAGCACAGATCCCAGCACCTTACTGGGGCTGGGTTGGGGGCAAGGCCTCAGGCCAGCTGTCCTGGGTTCTGTGGACAGGCCCCCCGCCTCACATCTGGACAGGCTGTGATGGGTGGTGCCGCCCCGGGGACCCTGTCTTGTCCCTCCTGTCCCCCACTTCCCTTCTCAGCCTCTGGTGCCCGGTGGTCTGGTGTCTCTGGTATGGGGACAGTGCTCCCAGGGAAGGCGGGAAGAGAGGGAGGCAGAGAGGAGGGGCTGTGACCTGCAGGCCAGGGATTCAGGGATCAGCTCAAGCACGGTGGCAGGACAAGCCTCGGACTCGGGCAGCGATGGACAAACAAGGCGACGATCCCCCGCCCGTGTTCTCATTACGGCTGGAGAAAGTTCCAGCTTCAATCAAACAGGCACTTCATCGTTGGTCGATGTGGATGCTCTCTTGGCGGGTGGACTCCCTGAGGCGTGGGATGCTCCTTTGCACGCTCATGCACTGGGCACCAGCAGTGTGTACCCGGCACAGGGCATGGGGCCTGGACGTGAGTGTCCACTGGCCATAAACCTTACAAAGTAGAATAATGGACACAATCCTTGAGACCTGCCTGCCTGGGCTTTAGGCTCTCCTGCTAACTAGCTGTGTGACCTTGGGCAAGTCACTTACATCCTCTGAGCGTTGGTTTTCTCATTTGTGTAAAAGAGGATGATAACACAGACCACAACGAGTTGTCATAAGAAACGAGGCATGTGTTGAATGCCTGAGAGTTCATCTGTGGTTCACAGACTCCCCCGGCCTCCGCTTCCTCATTTGGAGGCTGAGGAGGAAGTTTTGTTGGATGCTGTTTTGCGAGTTTTAACAAAGTAACACATGGAAAGTGCCTAGAACAGTACATGCCACATAGTAAACACTATGAAGT